GGACTACTGGTCCAAAAACATTCCGCTTTTCCAAGGAATTTAATTCTGCCTGGATTGCATCTTTCCACTTAGGCCAATCCTGTCTCTGTTTGCATTCATCAACAGAACGGGGCTCAATATCATCACTTAAGATGATTTCAGTGGCTACTGCAAATGCAAACATATCATCGATGATTATTTCATTTCGATCCCACAATTCATTTGTACATGCATAATTTATGGAGATTTCTTTGCTTTCATGTACTTCTGTCTCTTCAGGGACAGATGTCTCATCAAGGACATTTTCTTTTTCTGGAAGTCCAGAATGATGAATTGTGGATGTATCATTCATTTTCTCTTCCTGAATGATTTCATTTGGATTCAGTTGTGCCCTCGACTTTCTCTTTCGAGGAGCTGAATCTTTTGAACCTTGGGGTCTACCACGCTTCAGGCGTGCACCAGATGAATCATTTGCTGCCACTTTATTTTGTCCAACAGGGACATCAATTTTTGCAGGTGCATTTGCAGCTGGTATATGTGATTTTGTCACTTTCATAGCATCATTAAATGCATCTGGCATTTGATTAGCAATGCTTTGAAGATGAACGATCCTTCTCACTTCATTTTCACATTGAATGTTGTGAGGATCAAAATGAGACAAGGTGGGAACAACCCATGTCAGCTCTTTCCGTTCTTTTGGAACGGTCTTTTCTCCCCCTAACGACGGGAAAATTGTCTCATCAAAGTGACAATCAGCAAAATGAGCTGTAAACATATCACCTGTCAAGGGTTCCAAATATCTAATGATAGATGGTGAATCAAAACCCACGTAAATTCCCAGTCTACGCTGAGGTCCCATTTTAGTGCGTTGCAGCGGTGCAATAGGCACATAAACAGCACAACCAAAAACTCGTAAATGGGAAATGTTTGGCTGATGTCCAAACACGAGTTGTACTGAAGAGTATTGATGGTTGGCTACAGATCTTAATCGAACCAATGATGCAGCATGTAAGATGGCATGTCCCCATGCAGAGACTGGCAATTTGGTTTTCATAAGCAGAGTGCGAGCTATTAACTGAAGCCGCTTGATCAATGCTTCTGCTAAACCATTTTGAGTATGGACATGAGGAACAGGGTGTTCAACATCAATGCCCAATGTCATGCAATAATCATCAAAGGTTTGAGACGTAAATTCACCAGCATTATCAAGTCGGATTGACTTAATGGGATAATCTGGGAACTGTGCTCATAACTTAATTATTTGAGCAAGAAGTCTCGCAAAGGCTACATTCCGAGTAGACAAGAGACAAACATGTGACCATCGGGTAGATGCATCAACCAAAACCATAAAATATCGAAATGGTCCACATAATGGTTGAATAGGCCCACAAATATCCCCTTGAATTCTTTGCAGAAATGATGGGGATTCAGCATCAACCTTTAGTTGAGATGGTCTAATTACCAACTTCCCTTGAGAACAAGCTTTGCAAGGGTTATCATTTAAGGCAGCAATGTGTCTGCTCACTAATGGATGTCCATTAGAGTTGGTAATGATTCTACGCATCATGGTAGATCCTGGATGACCAAGACAGTCATGCCAAAGCATGTAAACCTTTGAATCAATGAACTTCTGGTTCATGACAGTATGTGATTCAATTGTCCTTATGTATGTATAATATAATCCACTCGACATACCATGCAACTTCTCCAATATACGCTTCTGGGTATCATTGGAGGTAATGCATAGATACTCCACATTTTCTGCACTTTTTGTTTCAATGTGGTATCCATTTAGACGTATGTCTTTGAAACTCAACAAATTTTGAGTAAATCGAGTAGCATACAATGCATTCTGTATGGACAATATTGTTCCATTTGGTAACATAATCTGGGCTTTCCCTGAACCTTGAATTACATCTGAAGGTCCTGATATTGTTGTTACCCCTACTCTTGTAGGTATTAATCTTGAGAAATACTTTCGATCACGAAGTATTGTATGTGTGGTTGCACTGTCTGCAAGACAAATATCTCCGTCATTTCTCATGGTCTGAGAATAATCACAATTTTTATCCATGCTCTCTGAGTAAGAGAATCAGAATTAAAAGCAAGTTATAACAAGAAATTTACATGCCACTTTTATTGAATCTGAAAATACTACAAGTTCAGCATAATAAAAGTACATTAATGATTCAATCGGACCGATATACTTCATTTCCCCTTTCCACAATATAGTCTGAAACATCTAGATGAGTTGTGTTCAACTGCCCCGATAAGTCAAACACTGGATCAGGTATATCCATTGGTCTAGCCTGGTCGAGAAAGTTGGTCTCGACACCCTTCTCCTTGAGGGAGGCTTGATACAGATCCACTAGATGTTTTGGGGTACGACAAGTACGCGCCCAATGCCCATTGCCACCACACCTATGGCAGGCTCCTTCAGGGTTTCTAGGAGCATTATTCATATGAGCTTTGCCTTTGTGGTGACTCGCATTTTTGAAGCTCGGGCCTGAATTATGCCTCGAAACCTGGTTGTGAAACTGAACTCCATGGTTCTTGCCTTTCCTATTCCATCGATCTCGCTTGTGGCCACGTCCTCGTTTATGATTATCACCACCAGAGGATGTGGCGTTCACTTCAAGGGAAGCAGCATTCACTTCTGGGAATGGTGCAGATCCAGTAGGTCGGGAATGATGGTTTTTCATTAGGAGCTCATCATTCTGTTCAGCTACTAAGAGCACAGATATCAGCTGGTTGTACTCAGTGTAGCCTCGCGCTCTATACTGCTGCTGCAGGAGCACGTTGGATGCATGAAATGTGCTGAGAGTCTTTTCCAGCATATGCTCCTCAGTAATAATATCCCCACAGAGCTTCATCTGAGAGGTAATTCTGAACAATGCAGAATTGTATTCTGCCACTGACTTGAAATCTTGGATCCTCAGATGAGTCCACTCATAGCGGGCCCTTGGAAGAATCACCGTTGTCTGGTGATTGTATCTGTTTCTCAAGGCATTCCAGAGAGCTAACGGATCTTCAACCGTTAAGTACTTGCTCTTTAGCGCCTCATCAAGATGGCGGCGAATGAAAATCATGGCCTTTGCCCGATCTTGAGAGGATGAGTTGTTCTCTTCCCTGATGGTATCTCCAAGATTCCCTGCTTCCAGATGGATCTTGGTATCCAGTACCCAGGTCAGGTAATTCTTCCTGGTAATATCCAGGGCAGCAAATTCAAGCTTCGCCAAGTTCGCCATTTTATTTTCTGAAAGAAAATGAGATGTGTAAGAACTTGCAATAATATGTATTCCTGAAGGAATATGATGTTAGAACTTCTGGTTCTTACAAATTTTTCATTTTCATTTTGATCTTCAGGCCAAAATGATAAGCACTCGAAACTTCTGGCTCGAGATTTTCAGGGTGAATGAGAAGGGCGATCGTATCGCACCATTCTCATTGAAATAATGTAATATAGAATGGGCGATTATTCTGCACCACTCAAGTAACAGGAAAATTAAATATGCAGAGCAGCGTGGGCGATTATACCGCACCACATAAAATTGCAATGAAATTAAACACCAGGTAAATTCAAATATGCAGGGTAGGGTGTGCGATTATACCGCTCCACCTAAAAATTGCAGTAAAATTAAATCTGCAGTCCAAGATAGGCGATGATACCGCACCGTCTTGGATCGCAGTAAGAATAAATTTGCAGTTCAAGATGGGCGATTGTACCGCACCATCTTGGATTGCAGTAGAATTAACATAAATAAATACTGAGTTAGTAATCAATCTCTACACCAAACAAGTAATCAAAGATGTATATAACCGTTAGTTGGAGAACTAAGAGCAGGCATGGAGCAAACAACTCGTCGCGAGGGTACACGGCGTAGTTGAGGCAGAGGAAGAAGATGAACAGTAAAAACCTTAAAGGAAACATTTTTTCTTTCTTTCGTTCTTTCGGCGAAGGGAGATGAGAGAATAATTATATATAGAGACTCGTGCTGATAACGTGTTATAAAAGGGTTAAAGTTTGAGAGATAACCTTTTTAAGTGGTAGGTGCAAGGTAGATGTAAAATGTCACACTAAAATTATAGCACAGGCAGATAACAAATAAAAGGCAGAGGAATAGATGATGTTACTGATATTTTTCTCTAGTTTTCTTTCTTCTTCTTATTTTCTTTGTAACTTACAAACATGCGGAGTGCTCTATTTATAGAGCGCCTCCAAACTGATGCAGTTAATGCATCCTGAAATTTAAAACGTATCATCTGACATTACAATTCACTTTCCAATTTCACTTTGCATGGGCATTGAAAACTTTGCCCATGCAGAAGGCTTTTGCTTTGTGGGCATTCATTGCCATCAGACATTAGACTTTTCAACACATAGATCATTTTCAAATTATTAAGGTTAGCCTATCACAACATGTTTAGAAGTGATTAAGAGATGATTGAGACTTCTCATTCGAAGTAAATTTGGTTCCCTAAAAATTACTCTCGGTTTCCTGTATTTGTGTTATGAAATTCTTATATCATGTCATGTTCGAAGTTATCACTTTCAAAAATAGTAAATGTCAAAAAACGATCGATTTGTTAACGAATAATAACCCAACCCGTTTGGTAATTTACACTAGAGATATGAGATATAGCTTGATTTAAGTTTTTTTTTTTTTTTTTTAATCCTTCTCTAAATTAAAAATTCGTTTTTTTTTTTTTTTTTAAGTACATTGATATCTTTGTAGTAAAAAAAGGAGAGATTCGGTTAAGTCACACAATAAACAACTTAATTTAGTATCGAATTCACTCAGAAAAAAAAACCTAAAAATATACTGAAATTGACAGGCCACTCAAACAAGGGAAAGCAAAGTATGTTTCAGGTGGAGGCTAAGGAAGAACGAAAGTACGAAAATGGGCCAAAACAAAAGTAGAAAGTACGAAATCTTGTGTTGGAATCCCGGCAGTTATGTCGAACAATCAGGGGCATTATCGACAAAGAAGCTCGCATCTTGACCGCCGACTCCACCGATCCCCTCCACAAACCGCTTTTCATTGATTTATCTATCCATTTCGATCGCCAAAACCTGCTCTCTCCCCCCATCAGCTCATCAGCTCACCTCAAGAATCTCGAATCCCTATGCGATGCGAGGCCACGATCGGATCAACACGTGTCTCCCCGACGAGCTGATCGTCGAGGTCTTCCGGTGGCTCGACTCCAAGACCAGCCGCGACGCCTGCTCCCTTGTCTGCAAGCGCTGGCTCGCCCTAGAGCGCCTCAGCCGCAGCACCCTCCGCATCGGCGCCACCGGCAGCCCCGACCTCGTCGTCGACCTCCTCGCCCGCCGATTCCGCAACGTCCACACCGTACACATTGACGAGCGCCTCAACATTTCGCTCCCTACTCACCCTGTAACCACTCAACCAATTCGATCGATCCCCAGTTCGATACAAATCGGGTTTTTATAATTCGTCGAAACAAACAGGGCCTTAACGATTTTTCTTTTGTTTTTTTGAAGGGGAGGAGGCGCGGGACGGATATTGCGGCGGTTTTGTCGGTGAGGCTGCATTCTGCCAATGGCTCCGACGACGGCGTGCTTGATTCGAACAGCTTATCGGACGCCGGTATGACTGCTATCGGAGACGGATTCCCCAAGCTCGAAAAGTTGAGCTTAATCTGGTGCTCCCATGTCTCCAGTATCGGTCTAATTTCGCTTGCTGATAAGTGTAAAATGTTGAAATCATTGGATTTGCAGGTGAGTTTTTGCGTAATTGGCTTTTAATCTCGTCTATTATTGCTTTGTTAAGGTTAAATTTTAATGCTTGAAGTCTACAATTCTTCGTTTGAATACTTAAGTGGAAATTATTGGTACATTCCTACATGGAGTTTCTTTTGAGGTGCTGTCTTGCAGTCTTGCTTTCGTTAAAGATACCATCTTTTCCGTGAGCATTGGAAATAAATGTTATCCTGCACTCCTTGTAAAAACATAGGAGAGAAATTGCACTTTAGCGGTGTGCGATGACTTTTTTGGAGTGCCAATAACTGTTCCTGATAATTTTAAAATCATATATTTGCTATTTGATATACATGGCAAGTCCATGACATGAAGCATCAGGTAACCTTAATTTTCTGTTTATGAAGGGTTGCTATGTTGGGGATCAGGGCCTAGCTGCCGTGGGACAGTGTTGCAAGCAGCTCGAAGATTTGAATTTGCGGTTTTGTGAGGGATTGACTGACGTATGTGTGGTTGAATTAGCCCGTGGTGTTGGGAATTCATTAAAGTCTCTTGGTATCACTGCGTGTGCAAAGATAACTGATACTGCAATGGAAGCAGTGGGGCTGCACTGCAAGTCTCTCGAAAACTTGTCGTTGGATGCAGAGTGCATACACAACAAAGGGGTGGTTTCTGTGGCCCAAGGATGTCCTGCTTTGAAATCTTTGAAGCTACAATGTATTAATGTCACAGATGAGGCTTTGACTGCTGTTGGAACTTCTTGTTCGTCGCTGGAGGTGTTGGCTTTATACAGCTTCCAGAAATTTACTGATAAGTGAGTACTCATTATTCTCTTTGTTCCTTATTTGTTTCTTATTGGCTTCTTTCCAATAAGAAACTTCTTTTTGGAGCGAGTCACTACAGTTTCTCACTCAACTTCAGATTGTGCCTGTACACATTATTTTATAAGATTACGGAAAAAATAAAAAGTTTTGAGCTTGTCTGTTTCATTTTATTAATTCAGCTCCTGCAGTTAAATGACTATCTCTTTGTTTTCGTGTCTGCGACATTTCAGAGGTTTACGGGCTATTGGGAAAGGATGTAAGAAGTTAAAAAATCTTATTGTTAGTGACTGCTACTTTCTGAGTGACAATGCTTTGGAATCAATTGCAACTGGCTGCAAGGAACTTACACATCTTGAAGTGAATGGTTGTCACAATATTGGAACATTGGGTCTGGAATCCATTGGAAAATCTTGCCCGTATGTTCCTCTTTTGGTTTAACTTAACTTCGTAATTTTGCTGGTAATAATTATATGGATGGTTTGAGTGGTTCTCATGTTTAGCTTATTGATGCTGCTAAACTGTGGAAGAATTCCATTAAGCTACAGGCTTTCACTAGTATTTTTCTTTGAATGGGTTATAGGATACATTTAGCATGGATGTTTAGCTGTCAGTTTTGCCCGTCGATGGAAAACTATGTACATTCAGAATTTGTATCCTTGGAACGGGTTACATTGAGCTCAGTTGGAAGATTTGATGATTGTGTTAGTTAATATAATTTCTTGCATTCATATGGTAATACCTAGTTGGTGTTACATTCATGTTAAGTATGTATTCATTTGTCTGTTGATGGTTGGTTAATCTGAAGAATTTGAAAATGTGCAGGCGTCTTACTGAGTTAGCATTATTGTATTGCCAAAGGATAGGCAACTTTGCACTTAGTGAGGTTGGACGAGGCTGTCAGTTCTTGCAGTCTCTTCATCTGGTAGATTGCTCAAGCATTGGAGATGAAGCCATTTGTAATATAGCTAAAGGCTGTAGAAATTTGAAGAAACTTCATATTCGTCGATGTTATGAGGTTCTCTCAAACTTAACAATGATTTATTCACCACCATATTTATTCTTCATTTGCAGAATATGATTATAGCTATTTTTGCGAAAGTTTGCTATTATTTGATATTTCCTTTAGTTTGGAGGAGCGGAATAATATGCAGGAACAAGAAAATGCAATGCTTTGTCCTACATTTGAGTCGTATCATCCTTTTTGAAATGTTATCTTTAACCATAAATGTGTTTTTGTATGTTGAACAGATTCATTTGCTATCTGACTTCTGTAAAAAATTCCTTGTTCGTTACCTATTTGGATAATATCTGCTGCCTTTTGGTATAGATTGGAAACAAGGGAGTTGTAGCAGTTGGAGACTATTGTAGGTCTCTCACAGGCCTTAGCCTCCGGTTTTGTGATAGGTAAAGTTTCTTCTCATCTTCCGTATCTTTCTCTTTAGCTTTCTTGAACCGCACCACTTCTTTGCAAGTCAGATGCTTATGTTCTATCTGCTCAGTTGAGAATGTGCTGTTTCAAACATTCAATCAAATTTTTTTCAATTTTTTGTGGTCGGAATCTACATCCTCGATTATTTAAAGATGTCTTTAACGTTGTATATCACTTGAGATATATCCTAATCTTACCTTTTACTACTAGAGTGGGGGACCAGGCCCTTATTGCTGTTGCTAAATGTAGCTCCCTACAATATCTGAATGTCAGTGGATGCCACCAAATTGGTGATACTGGATTGATAGCGATTGCTAGAGGGTGCCCGCAACTTAGTTACCTAGACGTGAGTGTTCTGCAGGTGTGTTCTCTCTTCCTTTCTCCTCTCCCCTCCCCACCCCACCTCCCTCTCCCACGCACCCCTCACCAACAAACACATGCTTCTGGTGGCTTATATCTGAAGCACCGGATGCACCCTTGTTACATTTGATAGAAATGGTAGAAGTTTTTCATGTTCATATTGATGCACACGCAACCTAGCATGAATGCGTTTTTCCAATCCTTGTTCAATCTAACATGATTTTCGCTTTGAAAAGAATTTGGGGGACATGGCAATGGCTGAACTAGGAGAAGGCTGTCCAAACCTGAAGGACATTGTGCTGTCACATTGCCGTCAGTTAACAGATGTTGGTATAAACCATCTTGTTAAAAGTTGCACAATGCTTACATCCTGCCACATGGTTTATTGCCCGGGCATAACTTCTGCCGGGGTAGCCACTGTGGTTTCGAGTTGCCCAAACATAAAGAAGGTCCTGGTTGAGAAATGTAAGGTTAGCCCGAGGACCAAACGGAGAGCAGCCTCTGTCATTTCCTATCTTTGCGTGGACCTCTAGGCTGTAATGTCTGCAGTCCGCTTACATTTATGTGCATTCCCACAGCTTGCTTAATTCAGAACAGCAATATGTGGAAGACAAAATCTGGAGGCACAACCTCCCTTAGGCGGACTTACATGAAACGCATTCAACGCCACCGTGGTATCCCGTTCCATGTAAAAGCCAGTTATGTACGCATGCCCAAGATCTTTTGTTTCCTTTTTTAAAGTTATTTTTTGTTTGTTGTTTATTTTTGTGGCCATATCTGTAATATTAGCAATAAATGTTTGTAATGTTTTTGTAATAAACTAATAATACAAGTATTCAGAGTGTTGGAGAAAGAAATAAAAGAAGTAAATGTTCTGATGGTGTAACTATCTGGCCAATTTTCTCTAGTCTTTTCTTTGTCACACATTTTCTTACAACGAGACTCAAACCTAAAATATTAAACTTGTGCCTCCTCAAGCGAATGTCTTTTGAGCTGAAGCTATGGGGGAAAATAACATGGGTTTGTAGTTTTAATGGTTAAAAATATTTCTCGTTACACAAACTTTTGAAATACGACTACGTGTTAAATTCACATTATGAGTAAACATTGAATTTTCATCATATTTTTTTTTAATCTATTACGCATTCTTTTTAATTTTCGAACGTCAGACCAAATAAATTAAAGAATATTAAAAGATAAAAATTACAAAGTGTAAGAGGTAAAAAATAATATGTGGATATCACCACCGATTTTGTAATGCATCATTGTGTGGAGCCCAGGCATTTGAAGGCATTTGAAGGTAAGTTACCTTCAGTATGGTATGTTTGTATAAATTGAATCTACTGTGTAAATGGCATGTGTGACTTTCTTTAAAGACATTAAGCGGTTCTTTTTCTTTTTCGTTTTCCCCTGGTGCTTTCATGGTGGCACATGCTATTGGTGACATAATAACTGGTGATGTGGTGGAACCTGAAGTGGTCGTAAGTGCATCCCCATCTGTCGGAGGATTGTTAGACTCACTAACCGGCAGCATAGGAATATCAAGCATCTCCTCAAGGGCGAAACCTGTAGCTGCACGAGTTGCATCCTCAACCCCTTCCGGCATTGCGGCAACAGGAACTGTTACATCGGATGCTCACAAGACTGGTTCTAGGCCTTTAGATAAAGATGCTTTCCGAAATTTCATAAGTAGCTCAATGCCATTTGGTTGGTACTTCTTACTTAATGGAAGATTGTCATGGGTGGGAGGGCCCTCACCAAAAGTATTGAGGCAACTTTCCCTGGGAAAGTTCAGTTTGCACCATGGAAACCTCAAAAATCACCTATCTAGTTCAGCCTTTGGAAGCATAGCTGATGAAGATAGCAATATTGAGACAGATGGTAACAACAATAATATGGTAAATGTAGATGAGTTCCTAACGGAAAAAATGAGCAAGGATCTTCATCCAGCTGATTTGGAGGAGGCATTTTCCTGGCATGCATACAATTACGCCAAGGTACCTGCTTCCTCATTGTTTTTTATTTCTTCTCAAAAATCAGTTGGGATGTCTTGCAACAGAGAGCGATGTATTATCCAAAAAAGTCCGTTAGAAATTGGAGATATGGCTTCCATTCTATTGGTCGTATATTGGAAATTAGATTTGTATTCAGTCTCTGTTATTGTTATTGCCAGTGTCTGTGAATTGAATACTAAAATAGTAATGATAATACAAATTATGTCGAGTGTATATTTTTTCTGTGTCAGTCAAGCACACTTCTGGACGTTAAAGTGTTTAAGCATTTATCGAAGATCAAGCTTTAACAGAGGATGGCGTTTTCTGAGTCATGTGTATAGGTGTCGGTCAAGATTGTTGGAGCTTCATTGTCTGGAATGTCATTGGATCCAAAATCTGTAAGTTTTGCTTCCTCTAATTCTCCTCTCATGGCCTAGTTCGTTACATGCATGTGAGCGTTTATCCAACTGTTAAAGCACCAGTGGAGTTCTCCACTCAGGTGGGTTTTTCATCAGAGTTCTCTATCTTCGAGCTTGATATACTTTTCTTAGCTCTGACAGTGCATGCTGCGGAAAAATTGTTAGAAAATGTGCCGCCATCATTGTGTGCATCAGATATAGAACTTGCATAAGTGTATGCTACAGATAATCTACAAAATATCTGTTAATGTTTTCGACCAATGATGGCTTCATAACCTATGAAAGTAAAATTCTCCTTGGTTTCTTGTTTCTTCTAATGGTAACAATTTCGTTGTTTAAATGTGAAAGTTAGAGTACCCTTGTCAGTCCATATTGTTTCTTTTCATTTGGTGAACAGATTACTTCTGGCGATTATATTTTGTGGAACACGTTGGGTTGATGCCCGTCTGCTTCTGTAGCAAAAGTATAGGGGATGCATATCGATGGCAACTCAGGAAATATAAAATGTAAATTCAGGGAGCAAGAATGCTCTCTTTGTGCAATCCGAATACACCAGATCTCTGTTTTAAAGTAGGATGCGTGTTTGGGGGAGGTCAAGTTTTATGGTCTGGTTTGTTATGAAATGGCTTTCGGAAATTGAAGTTTCTGAATAGATCATTCGTGTAATTTTAGTTAGTGTTGGAAGTGAGAAGCCAATCAACGCGGTCGGCTGAGAACTGACCGGTTTTTTTTCGCTTACTTGATTTTGCTTAAACTGTCATTCCTTTACATTTGTTCCTTGAAAGTTGAAACACAAGAATATACGGGTTTCCAACCATACAAAGAAGCCTTCAAATGGCCATTTACAAGTTGGATGGTCTACTCTTGGCAACAAAATTTAGCCTAGAGTACCATCCAGGCCCCAGCTTCTTCGCAGGAGAACCTGACATCCCATCGCGAAGTCTGCCTCCTCGGAACACAATTGCCATTCAAGGGCTGTGTTATGATGTGCGTAGTTCATGAGTGTGCATTTTATCTCCTTCATTGCATGCTCTCTGTCTCTTCGCGGTTCACTTTCTTCACTTTTATTCTTCCAGAAAGTGTCTCGCCGAATGGTAGAGATCGTACGGTGCCCAGAGATGATCGACGGTGCATGGCTTCCGGGCGTCCAACCTCAACCATGGCTTACCCTTCCCGCTCCAGTGCAGAAGACTAATGGGACCAGGGTGGAGGTTCCTACACCTTCCTTCAAAGTTGTCACCTCCTAACCCATGCTGGTTCCACCGGTGATCCACACCCTTGATGTTTCCGGCCAAAACCAGCAGAAAGGGCGGCAAAGACCCTAAATGGTATAGCCTCCTTCGCTTTTGCAAAGCCATCCACTCCTCAACCTTCTGTGTATACCCTCCTTTCCTCCATTTATCCACATCCACCACCATCACTCCTGTGTTGAAATAACACGGGTTTCTTCCTTGGAACGTCTTCGACAAATCCGGGTCGGACCAAAATGCGTCAGTGAAATACTGTGAGAAATTTGCCCGACAATATTCCGGTGCAGCCACCACCTTGTCTTCCATGTCCACGCTCCATAGCTTGGCAATGTCGTCCACCACAATGAGGTCCGAGTCCAAGTATATAACACGCCTCATATCGGTCGGAAGGATGTCAGCAAGATAGATTCTAGCATAATTAATTGGCTGATCCAATGCTTGCCTTATAGATTTTGATATCTTCCAGCGAACCCGGTTCGAATCAAAGGCATATGTCTTGAAGTTCAAGTAAGGGAACGTAGACTTTATGCTGGAAAAGAACTCTGGCGCAATACGCGCGGAGAGGAAGTGAAAATAGAGATTTTCAGGGCACGTCGAGTGTTGCAACAAGGAGAACACGGCAGCCATTGTGCCGCGGATGTAATTGGCATCTAGAGTCATAGCAACGTGGATGGCATCCGTGTTTTCGGAGCCACATTGCTCCCCGTTTCGGAAGGCGGGCGCTTCACGGAAGACAGGGAGGTGAGGGGAGGGACGGCGAAGGATGCCTAGGCGAATGCCGGAGGTGGTGGTGATGGGGTGGAAGAGGAGGATGGACAGGAGGCCAAGGAGTATGGGGAGAGGGGTCGGCGTACTCAACAAGGCCATCCTGTCGTGTTTTGGTATTAGTTTTTGGAGACTTTTGGGAGGTTGTCTCTAATTGCAAAGGCAACCGAATCCATTTGAATTGGGGGGTTTTGGATGTGGGAAAGTTGGGATGTTTTAGTAGAGAGGGAAAGGAAGTAAAATTGTGAGGAAGACAAAAAAGGTCGGAAAAATCTCCGGGTATTTTGGGTTGCCGAAAAGTCAAAAAGAGGTATTTTCCTTTTCTAATTGTGTTCCTGCAAACTTGGATGATCATATTTGGAGTATTAGTTTGTTCAGAATTCTGTTTGGGTGTTGACAATGTAACAAAATAAAACAAGTATATGTTTTACTGTCCTAATCATAGTACGAGAATTGTTGAAACCGGAAATGTCATATAGTTTAAGGTAGTTACTTGGGCTTATTTTGTTTCACATTCTGCATGCTTGTTTTCACTTTCGACGCTCCTTTTGTTAATTCTACCATTTGATTTTTTTAATTTTTTATTATTTAACTTAATAGCCAGAATGGAAGGAAAAAATATGTGGACCATAATTTTCGCACAATCGAACCAAGGCGGGGAAATCTATGAAGACTGGACCTTGGAGGAACTCGCGGGGCTCTGGAAAGAATAGTTTGGATCCAATTCCGGACCCTCTACCTCAAATGATCAGATCAATAAGGTTCCAATAATTTACATGATCCGATCGGATCATTTAAGGTACTATCGAAAAAAATCAATCCGACAACGACCAGAACGGTTGATAAGGTATACCCTTATCGAGAATGACCTATTTAGCCCTCAAGAAACGTATGTATGATGATACTCTAATTAGGAAAGAATCTTGAGAATTTCAATTATCATGGGAATTGGTGTGCACCCTAGTAATTACTGACCTAATAGGAAAGGATCTCTTTCTAGATTTCTTATTATGATTTTTTATATAAGGATTCTCATCCTCATAAGAACGATCATTAAACATTATATATACGTTCTTCTAGGGTTTAAAGAAGATATGATCTCTCTTATATTATATCTAATCCAATGATATATTTCATATCTCAAGAGAGGATCTCATATCTCAGAAGATCATACATCTCATTCAACACATATGTGCATACTCAATGCATCCCGTTTGCTCATATCACCACATGCTCATGTAAGGAACTACACATGCTTTGATTTTCCCTCTTCGAGATATGTAGGAAATTCTTTCCGGATTCAATCACACCTCCCAAACAATCTCCTATTCCTCGATGTTCATGAGATTCTGGCGATTGTTTATATAATACGGTTGTGCACGAATTTTCAACAATATACAAATGTAAGAAGTGAAAGATGGTGCATAAATAATTCTTTTTTTTATATTAATTTTTTTGACGACCACAAGAGAGTTCAATATCATATTAGTGCACAATCGGCCACATTTTAGGCCCAAGAAATGCAAGTGTTGGGCCAATGATAAAGCTCAATGGCCTCACGGCCCATATATCATTCTTAAATAAAAACAAAATTATGGCAAGTATATTTTACATTAAAAAAATTAATAAACAAGGATATCCACCAAGCAAATATTTTCGTTCCTAGAAAAAAATAAAAACACACACACACGCTATAGTTTGTTGAAGCTAACTTGGAAGGGGAGCCACATTTTTTTGTCAAAAATGAAAATTTTGTTATAAACTTTTCTAGTTTAAGTGTGATTGTGTAAATCCTAAATTATATTTGATTCTAGTTATTCTTTCCTATATGAATTTGCATTCCTTGGGGATGAAGAATTTCATGAGTTTTTTATTCGAATTTGATTGAATTCCTCGGATTCCCACCCTGACGTTAAGATTACACCTCCATCGACAAAAAATGGTTCTCCGATAAACCATGGCTTGCACCTACCACGGAAACACTGCATGAAGCAATGTCGTCGACTAGTTCCGACGGATCCCCACACCGAGCGCCGTTAGGGTGGCCTGAAGATCCCACCTGAGCCCTAACAAGCCTCAGTTTCCATTAGGTCCATTAGCATAGAACCCTCGTTATTTGGGTCTGCTTGTGTTGAGTGTTTCAACCCACATCACCAGCCCTTTGGGCTTTGGTGATAACCTGGCTCAAGAACCAGTTGAGCCCATATGGGCTCATGCCGTTTCTCCCATGCACCGTGTCACACGAGATCCCAGCTTATGCTAGTATATGTGTGTGCTGCATCGAATCCCAGCTTCACCGGAGTATCCATGCTCTCATATCTGCATCACAGCTGATTCATGCCCTTCATGGGCCTCTATCTTGGGCTTGCGCATACAGCCCACTTACTTTGTGATGCATAGGCCAACATGCATGCTCGGCCCGAGACCTAACCTACCTAATATTTGGGCCTGGGACGCACAACATTTATCTGATTAGCCCACCCGTGGGCTTTGGTCCATGTTTTTGGGCCTCGAGTTTAATTGCCTAATTTTTTTAAGTCCAATGGGTTTTATATTTTTTCACCCACACTTTAAATTTGGCCCAAAGTCCAAATAATTAATTCAATTATAATTATAGACCTGAAGTTCTATTTGCATATTTTCTTGTTGCACATTTCTATGTATATATTTGCGTTTGTCTGCAGGAACATATAAACCTGAAGTTCATAATTATTTCGAAACCTGAAGATTCTTAAAACATGCCTTATTTGAAAACCTGAAGTTTTCTTGAAAAACATAACCCATGAAAACCCTAAGAAAGACAAGAAAATAATATAAAAAATATATAATAATAAAAGAATTGCTTAAAAAACTCATGGGCTGAGTGTTATACATGCGAGTCTTAAGAAATGGAGTAATTCCTCTTAGCCAGAGTGTGATCCTTTTTTGACAAAAGAACTTGTCTTTTCCTGTATAAAAGGGCAGCCCGTTGTATCCCGTCTTAATGAACAGCTTTCTTCACCAAGTTTTTTCATGCGAATTTTAACCAATACATGTCTATTAGAACCTGAATGTTCTACTCTTATGTGAATGGATTAATTCTCTTTCTCCATTACACTAATCACATCTTGTCCCTTATTTTTTGATAGGAACATGTCGACTTTGAACAAACTCGACTTCACCTCTTTAAAGGTATCTAGAAGGAACTACCTCATGTGGGTCCAAGATGTGAAGCTCCACCTCACTACAAAGAATTTGCGTCCCGCCATTGAAAATAAGACGGACAACCTTGTTAGCGAAGCTGAGAAAGCCACTGCCATGATCTTCATCCGAAGACATATTCATGACGCACTGCAAACTGAGTACCTTGCTAAGGAGGATCCACGAGCACTATGAGTCGCTTTGGCTGATCACTCTGATCACTTACATTGACTGGATCAAATATTTCCAAATCCCGAAACGTGTTCTCAATTCGGCTAAGGCATTCGATCTACGGTTTGAAGCAATTCTAAAGAATGTGGTATAACCGTCTGAGTGAGTATTTGACTAGTCAGGGATATGTGAACAATGAACTATGCCATTATGTGTTCATTAAGAAGTCACATTCCGATTTTACAATTGTTGCAGTATATGTTGATGACATGAATCTTATCGGAACTCCTGAAGAGCTCGCGAGAACCGCCGCACACCTAAAGTCGGAATTTGAGATGAATGATCTAGGAAAGATTCAATACTATCTCGGTCTCGGGATAAAGCACCATTCAAATGAAATCTTAGTACATCAAACGAACTAAACCCAAAAGGTGTTGCGCCACTTTAATGAGGATAAAGCGAAACCCTCGAGTACTCCTATGGTCGTTCGATCGCTAGATGCAAAACAAGATCTCTTCCGTCCGAAGGAAGATGATGAAGAGATTTTGGAGCCTGAAGTTCCTTATCTAAGTGCGATAGACGCTTTATTGTACTTAGCTTAATGCACTAGACCCGACATCTCCTTCGTTGTTAATCTTTTGGCAAGATACAGTAATGTACCATCACGTAGACACAAGAATGGTATTAAAGACATTTTCCACTACCTTAAGGGTACTCCGGATTTGGGCTTGTTTTATCTCTACGGATCCTCGAGTGATGCTGCACCCTCGCTTCCCAAGTCGACTCTCGCCTTGTTGGGAGTGCATGATATTTATCTGATCCGCACAAGGCGCGTTCTCAAATGGGTTATGTCTTTACCATTGAAGGCACCGTAATTTCTTAGAGGTCAACTAAACAGACCTTAGTTGCCACTTCGTCTAACCATGCTGAAGTTTTTGCATTACATGAAGCAACTCGGGAATGCTTTTGGTTGAGAACAGTTGTGAGCCATATTCGAAGCTCCTGCAATCTTTACCCCATCGTGGATGTCCCAACGATGATTTATGAAGATAACGCATCATGCATCGAACAACTCAAGAAGGGTTACATCAAATGAGATAACACCAAGCACATTGCGCCAAAGTTATTCCTTTCACATCAACAACAAGAGCATCAGAAGATTGAAGTCACGCAAATCCATTCACAGATAATCCGACCGACCTCTTCACCAAATCACTGAAGGCTATGTTGCATAAACTTGTTTCTGGAATTGGTTTGCGTAAACTTTCTGAGTTGTAACATTGCTAGTTCTCTTTGGAATTGTGTCAAACTCAGGAGGAGTATCCTGAAGTATACTTGCTTGATCTTAATCTACTCTTTTTCTTTACGATTATGATCATTTTTTCCACTGGGTTTTCGCTACCTAACTAGGTTTTAACGAGGCACCCACCTTGAGCTAATTATATCCCTAATGACGTCTCATAGACGTTTCATTTGACTTTGCATTTCTCACACATTTTTCCTTAGACTATGGATTTTGTCCCTACTCAGGTTTTTGCCATAGACTTAGGGTTTTTTAGTGAGACTTACTTCTTTATGCAAGTTCATACCTTATTGAGAATAACGTTGTTCCCAGAATCAGTGTCGACGAGTCGACTTCCCTAACTTTTACATGATGCTGAATCTACCTTGAATATTTACACACTTAAAGGGAGTGTTATAAACTTTCCTAGTTTAAGTGTGATTGTGTAAATCCTAAATTAGATTTGATTCTAGTTATTCTTTCCAATATGAACTTGTATTCCATGGGGATGAAGGACTTGTTCTCCCTCTTATTCCTATAAATAAAGGCACTACGTAGGAGGGAATAACACACACATTCCTCTCTAAAATTCTACAAACACATCTCTCCCTCAATCTCTCCTTGCCGCCGGCCCCCCTTCCCTTAGTCAGATAAAATAGGCTAAAACAAATTTTTATTTTCGCGAAATATTTTCCGTGAGCATGAAGGAAAATTTTATAAATTTGTTGTTCAATAAATCATAAAACCGCTTCCAAATGCCTTATAAAGTTTTCTTTAATGCTCACGGAAAACCTTTTGCAAAAAGAAAAAAATATTTGCATTTTTC